TAATAAATTAGAAACCAAGTGAATTGTAAATAAAATGTTTTTTTTTTTTTTAAATGAAATGAAACTACAGTGTCCTAGTCTTCTTTTCCCTGTGTACATGTCAACCTACCTGGCTCACACTGAATTGGTAAAGAAGTTTTGGGTAATGGGAGTACAAATATGCAAATTAGTAATGGGCCCTGCAACATTGTTGCAACAAAGTATCTATGGTGTGCAAAGGGTTAAGTGAAGCATAATGGAAAATAATATATTTATCAAGAAATCAGGAATTTTAATCAAGAAACGTGTGGAAATTGGAGTGACACTTGTGTTATTTCTTGGAGGAAAAGTCTCAATTTTACGTGGTATAATTCCTAATTCAGACCTCCGTTGTCTCGACTTGTTCACAATTGTTCACATCAATGATTAAAAAAAATACATAAAGATGGATAATTTCAGCCAGAAAAACTATTATTGCTCGAACATAGTAGCGCAAGTATCGTGACTCGTAACAGTTGTAGTATTTAACCAGAAAACAACAGAAATGGAATACAAGCACTGAGAATCATCAACCCAATGTTTAATTTACCAGGACCGAACAGGGTTTTATAAAGTTGCTGATTGCTGGGCCAAGCAAAGAAACAGAAAACTCAGTATTTCTGCGGGACATTTGCAATACTAAACATGCAGTGCAATAATTGTATACAGATTGTACATAAAATAAATAGAAAAAAAAGGAGGAAAAAACTGGTCTTGTTTTATTTCCCAAATGACAAACAATATGTTAATTTATGCAAATGATATGCTAATTATTATGCAAATTAGCCGGGACTCTATGGAAAATTTCTGGGGAGAACACTGAAGTGCCCAAAGATGTACATTGTATATTTGGGTTGTAATAATTGTAGTCTCTGTTTTGATGTAATCCAAAACGATTGGATGAATGAACGAATGAATGAACGAATGAATGAATGAATGAACGAATGAATGAATGAATGAACGAATGAATGAATGTTGATTGATTGCATCCTTTTAGAGAATACATTTCTAATTTGGTTGATCAGTGATTGTTTTCTCTTAAATAAAATAATAACATGGTTGAAATTTATTTTTTGCGCAGGTGGAAAGTACATGAATCATGTTTGTTAACAATGGGTTCCGTCAAAGCTTTAATTATTGACACAGTATCTAGTGGTAATTTAAATTTTCCATTGAATGACTTTTTAACGTCAGTAATACTTACTGATCTCAATGTTGCAGGTGAGTTGACGTTTCTGTGTGCATACATGCTTTCAATTGTGACCTGATTTTTTTGTTTTGAAACTGTCTGTTTTGTATTCCTGACTTTTCTTCCAATCTTTCTACCTTTATATTCAGCAGTCGGCTGCAACTGGCAGCATTATTGACTTTTAGAAATTGGATCCTCTGAAGAAAATGAAACATTGAATACAAGTTTATAAATAACAACCAAGTAGATGTATGAAAAACATAAATTAACCACTTCCAAATATATTTCTATGAGAATGTCTTAGCCTTGGTGTGCATAGTTTTGTTTTTTTGTACTAATGGTCAGCTTGTGGAAATACTAATCAAATTATATTGTAGAATAAGTTATCACTTGGCTTACTGACATTTGTAAAAAAAATATTTTTTTTTTTTTTTTTTATCTGTGACAGTATCTCCATTTTTACTGGGTAGAGCTTTGTGGGCGGCCAGCAGATTTACATTAGCAATGACACCAGAATTAGTTCAACAGTAAGTACTGACATAGGCGTGGCATGGATTGGTGGATGTAAAGTGGTGGAGAATCTGCTTGTTACACGAGTCCTTTTTGTCATGGACAGTAGGAACAATATTGATTACTGGTGTGTAATCTGTCTGCATAATGTATGATGAACTATTCAGTCCATTGGACATTAACCACTGTTTTCATAAATACATTAAGAATGAACAACTGAATCTTATGCTTTTGCCAAAATGTCACATGATATCTGATTTAAGATTCCATACAACAAATGTTATTTACTCAACAGATTTTTAGAAGCCACTGTCCGTGGACTACAGAAAAACCAGCCACCATCAGTTCGAGTGTCATCTGTCAGAGCCGTTTATGGTTTCTGTGATCACTTGAAGACATCTAGTAACACGCAAATATTAGTACCGTACTTGACTCATATCCTAGATGGGTTAATTGTGTTGGCGACAGAATTTGCAGCGGAGGTCTTAGCACTAGTTATGGAAACACTATGTATAGTTATTACAGTAAGTACCAGCAAGGAATCTACCATCTTGTTATTCTATTGGACATCTCCTGAAAAGGATTTATTGGATAAGCTTATAAAACTGGTGTTATGTGCAGTCAAGATGCCAGTTACGTTGATTAAAGTCACTTGAATTGCACGATCATCATAACACTGCAAGACAAATATACAGCTTAATATACAAATGATGTAAATGAGACTGTAGAGCTAATGATTGTAGGGTGCTTCTTGAAAATTATATCCATTATAAAATTGATGAATTTATCTTTAGTAGAAAATGAATAATTTATCAGTTTTCTGGCATGCAGTTCTTTGGAAATGCATGTTTTAGTTTTCATCTTCTGTTGTAGAGCATGTATTGTTTTACACTTTTTGAATACAGTGAATTATATCAAACCTTTCCAAGTGTCAACTGAATTCTGTGATGCCGCAGGTTAGACATACATTAGAATGATGCGTGCAGGGAATTGGATCTTCAGTGTGTATCACCATACATAAGTTCCATACTCTTTTGTTAAAAGCCCTTAATCAGACATTTCTTGACATATTCAAATATCCAGGCCATTCCAGGGTCCATAGCATTGGGAATATCCTTTGAATATCTTTGGATTTTTTGAGGTCTGGAAAGTCTTTGAGTTGTCTTTAAATTACAGGAAAAATAAAAAAATCTTTGAAAAGTCTTTAAATTTCTTCATAGTTATTAATTCATTTTAGAAAGGCCAGTTTTCTCCAGGGAACTACCATATCCTCAGAACTTTGATGAGCTTTGGTGATGATGTTGGCCTCAATTAAGGGTAAAAATGTCTTGGGGGGGGGGTATGCAAGAAAGTTTGGGAAAAGGTCTGGAAAAGTCTTGGAAATCATTTGGCTACTGGTGCTATGGACCCTGATATTGAAATTTCAACATCAAATGTTTAAAGTGAGAAATACATTATAATTTCTTGAGAAATAACTGTCATTTATCACAAAACGTGGTGTCTTTCAGATTGACAAAGCATTTACAGCATCTGTTGAAAACAAGGTCACGCCACTGACAACAGCATTATTTTTGAAGTACAGTCAAGGTAAGGTATGACACAGATAATTTGTTGTCATAGTCTAGTGACAGTTATGGCCCAAAATAAACAGATAAAAATCATCTTCTTAGATATTTCATTCATGCTAAAAATAACCTGTTCTCTTGTATAGATCCACTCATCACCTCACTGGCTCAAGATATATTTAAAGAACTATCACAAAATGAAGCCTGCCAACAACCGTTACAAGTCCGTTTACTTCCGACGCTGGACAGCATACTTAATGCACCTGTAGATAAAGTACCTTTAGGCTTGGCATCGGTAAGTAAATCTATGCTTTGTATAGAGAACGAAAATAAAGCTAATGTCATGGTGCTGTCTGTCTGTTAGTTTGTTAGTCTGTCTAATTATAATGCAGCTCATTGATCAGATACTATCGGACAATTGCAGCATCTGCCTAATTTTTGATACAAATATGTGCATATTAATTTAGCTTAATTTACATATTTATTAACTTACTTAGTCAAGTGCTATCTTGAAACTCAATCAGTGCATGATGATGCATTTAAAATCAGTACCTCTATTCATGTCTACAGGTTGCAATGGACGTGTTATGTACAATAGTTCGGAACAGCACTGTCCCTTTATCCGATGCGCTCATCACACAATCATTCCCGACAGCAGCACAGTGTACTCTGAGAACAGATGACAATGCTGTTATGCAGGTAATCCATAAATTTCATCATAAAATAAAGCATTTTGGGTGTTTTGTATAGAATTTATTTTCACTGATTTTTGATGAGTTGAATGTAAAATATAAGAAAAAAAGTATATTCATTCCTTCAGCGAAAATGAATTTCAAGCGAAAATGAAGTATTTTACAGTATTTAAATATGTATTTATTTGTCTGCACACTAGGCCTTCGATCAAGCTTCTTGCCATGTAAAATAAATCATGAGCCTCACCACACACTGCAGCTACTGATACAGTTCAACAGACAAAATTAATACCGGAGTTCTCATGAAAATCATTTTTCATCTTTTTTAGTTCCAGATAATATTTTTTTTATGTATTTTTTTTTTCAGAGTGGCGGAGAATGCATGAGGGCATATGTGTCTGTAGCATTAGAACAGCTTATACAGTGGCACGATGAAACCGGACATAGTGGTTTATATTACGTGGTTCAAGTTGTATCTAGGCTGTTGAATCCCAGGACATCTGAGTTCACAGCAGCATTTGTTGGAAGACTGGTGTCTACTTTAATCTCCAAAGCAGGCACTGCTCTGGGTAGTGACCTGGATCTTATGTTAAGAGCCGTCCTCAGTAAAATGCAGCAGGCAGAGTCGCTTAGTGTAGTGCAGGTAAGTAGTACTGTGGTCAAATGTTTTGGAAACTTCCAAATTTTGTGCTCTTATTAATCAATCCATAGTCACATGTGTGTACGTAATTCAACAGTTTTTTAACTGTTTCTAAAGCTGTTCTAAGTTGACTCGACAAAATGGTGATGAAAATTGGTGACTGAATAAATTGTGATTTAACTCAAATATCATTCCTTTTTTTAAATATTCATGACATTAGGTGCCAAGCTCTGATTTCCAAATAGTTTTGGTAGTTTTGACAATGCCAATCAGTGATTCTCCGTAAAATGCTTCACTTGAATTTTTTTTCTTTTTTTCTAAACAGTCTCTTGTTATGGTATTTGCACATCTAATACACAACCAACTTGATGCAGTGCTAGAGTTTCTTTACAATGTGCCTGGTCCGACTGGCAAACCAGCTTTAGAATTCGTCATGACTGAATGGGTGGCAAGACAACACTTATTTTATGGTGCCTACGATAGTAAAGTTAGGTATGAACTATTCACTATAGCTGATTTTTAGAAACTGGCAATGTAACATAGAGGATATGTACCTGGTCAACCTTTTCACCAGCAGTCTTTCTCATCCAAATTTTTCTGCATTTGTTTCCTAATATTTTTCAATATTTCTGGAAATGAACCCTAATTTTGGAGCCAACAGACAAAATTTGTTCCAATTTCCAATTTTTATTCAAAAAATTTGGCTATTTTTGCCCCAATCTTCTGAAGGAAAGTACAGACTATAAATGGGACTATTTTGTGAATTTGTGATGAAAAGAGGGAACTAGTGATTGTAAAGATTGAAGTGTAAGCCTGTTTTACTATTATCTTCTGACATTCTACTATAGCAGGGTAAACAATCGTTTGCCATGGCCACCTACGATATTATTTGTTTTGGGGAATGATAGATATGTAGATATTTGCAATGATTTCATTCAATTCCATTTTTATTTACTTAGCACAACCGCATTAGCTAAACTGCTGGAGCATATAATAGCAGTGGATGACAAAAGATTTGTTGATATCACAGTGAAGGGAGATCAAATTTTCAACCTCAATGAAGGAATAAGGACAAGATCAAAAACTGCCCAAGGTTAGTTATATCTTGGTTTTTAGGTGTTCAGTAGAGAAATCTGACGGGTTGCTATGGACATCCATAAAAACGTTCCTGATTCATATATTCAACATGCCTGGATTGATCAAGTCCAATCTTCACACATTCAACAGACCTCATATCGCACAAAAACATATGCATATTCATCACAATCTAATCCAAAATGGTGGTTATCTTGTTTAAATGAATTCAATTCCAGAGCCACATCTCATACAAGCCTGGACCAATCATGTTTAAACTTCACACATTAGGTCATATATATACAGTACTCATTCCGCCCAACCTCCCGCTTTTATCGCTTTTTTTCCGACCGCTTATCGCTTAATTTCCGACCGCTCGCTGCTTTCCGACCGGAAACCGACCGCTTTTTTTCCGCTCGCTCGCGTTCGCTTTTGTTCGCTCGCTCGCTCGCTTTTGTTCGCTCGCTCGCTCCTGCTATGACTGGCTTCAGAAACACCGTCCGCTTGCCAACCGACCGCTGGAGTAACAATGATCGTACATTGTATGTATAAACTTAAGTTTTTATTCGTAATAAATTTAGGTTTTAATGACGATTCAAAATACAACGCCCATTGCTTCTCTGTTTTGGAAAAAAGACGCCTTCAAATCACTTGACACATTGTAACGTTTGCTACGCAAGTCGAACTGTGACCTGTATTTACATATTTACGTCCTTGTGTGTGTAGTTCAAGCAGCTATATGACTGGTCAATCGCGATATGTATTGAGTACTAG